TTCAGCTCCCAGCACCCACATGGCAGTTGGCAACCATCTGTAGCTCTAGTTCCAAGGGATCCCAACTCCCTTTCCTGACCTCTACTGGCACCACACACACACACACACACACACACACACACACACACACACACACACGCACACACACAGGTAAACCTACAAATAAAACATACATACACAAAATTTAAAAAAAATAATAATACAATTTTCTGTAGTCAGATTTTTTGGGGGGACTACCAGCCCCAAAATAATGACACAGAGACTTATTATTTATTATGAAAGTTTGGCCTTTAACTTAGGCTTGTTCCCTACTAGCTCTTACAACTTAAATTAACCTATTTCTATGAGTCTATATTCTGCCATGTGGTTCTTTACCTTTCCTCCATTCTGTAAGTCTGATTCCCTCCATGTCACATGGACCTAGTTTCATCCCAAGGTTCTCTCTCTGCTAGAGAGTCCCACCTAACCTCTCCTGCCTGACTATTAAACGAGTCCCTCCTAGGTGCCAGACCCTGGGCTGAGTATTGGCAACAGAGCCATTAAACAAAATGTGCAGACCCCAGGCCCTCCAAGGCCTTACAGTTCACAATGTGACAAGTCACACTGAAGCACAAGGACCTAAGAGAGTTTCAGAGTCAGCGGTGTTGCCAGCTCTCACAGTTTAAATGTGAAATGTCACCCACAAGCCCTTGGCCCCTAGCTGGTGGCACAGTCTTTAAGAGGTGAAGTCATCCACCTGAAGAAACCGGGGGCAGGCCTTGAGGGTTATAGCCTCACCCTGCTTCCAGACCTACTGTCTTTGCTCTTTCCTCTGACAAGCCATGAGTGGGTAAAGAGTCCCAGCTGCATGCTCCCGTTCCATGGTGCTGCCTGCAGATGTGTGGGCTCCACCATGATGGACTGTGTCCTGTGAAACCATATGCCAAAACAAATCCTTCAGTCATAGTGAAGAGGAAAAAAATGACTAATACAAGGGAAACCAGAAAACTAAGGAAAGCCTCAATCACCCATCTTCTATCTCTAACCAACAGGTATGGCTGCACATACCAAACCAACAACTGTCTGAATTGTTTCACTTAAACTCCACAATTCCTTGAAGTTAATGCTATTATTACTAGACCTGCTTTATAGATAAAGAAACCGATATATTATAGGGGTTAAGTAAATGGAGTTGGGATTTGATCCTAGGCTTATGTGAGACCAGATAGATGTCACATGAACAAGAGTCTATGCTTCTCCTTTATCAGCTGTGGTCCAACTAACATATGTTCTCCCATACAGGCCTTTCACAAACGTGGACCAGCATTGCCTTATCTGCACATGTGCAGTGTTTCAAAAGCACCTTCATAGTCCTTAGAGCACTTGAGATTCTTACCTCATGGTGTCTATCTAAGAATCTATAAATGCTGTAGAATTCTAACTAATTCACTTCTATAATCTCAATAATTTGTGCTGCTCTTTGCATCCCAGTGCTGAAGGAAATAAAGGAAGAGGAGATGAGGGGGAAGGAGGGAAAGAATGAGCGGGAAAAAGGAAGGAGAAAAATGAAAGGTGAAGATAACTATGTTCACAGAAAGATTCTGTATAAGACATCCCAAGTACACTGTGCTTCTCTGTAAGAACCTTAACCTTACCCAACTGTAAAATCAATCCTAGCAACAACCCCAATAACTTTCCATTTAAGGGATACTCCACGAGCACTCATAAAATCACTCTGGATGCTTCTTGCCTGTGATGATTTGAATGAAAATAGGCTCTTTGGGCTCCCATATTTGAATACTTGAGCCCCAGGTGGTAGAATTGTTTGGGAAGGATTAGAGGTGTCATGAACTTATCCACTGAAACTCCAAACCCCAATAACCTTTCTTCTATAGGTTGTCTTGGTCATGGTGTCTTATCACAGCAATAAAAAGTAATTAGAACCCCATCCATCTTGTGTGCTCTCCCCTCTCTTTCCTATCAAACTATGCCAATGCTACTAACAACTTTTTTCCTTGTTTGAGAACCATGCAGAAATGATGTATCAGAGACAAAACTGAAACTCAAAGAAGGAAAACTAAAGCAGAGCCTTATGCCACAAGTTAAACAACAGAAAGCCACCAGGAAATTGAAGAACAGAAAGTGCCTGGGAATACATACCCTTTACCTTAGAGACTGCCCACAGACCAGTAGGCATATTTTTTTCTGTTTTAGGTTTTCTGGACAAGCATCAAAGCTTTAAGTTTCCAGATCACCAGCTGTGTTTTACACAATGTGAACTTATTGAGCAACATTCGAATGGCTGTCTGGATCATGCCCATTGTCTGTCTTCATCAGACATCTAAACCGTGGGCCAGTTAAGGAGGGGCTGCTGCAAGAACATGAGTAGGATTGGATGGCAATGGGCAACAGTCAATTAGCAAGCAAAACAAAGCAAAAGTAAAACCTCACAAGTGATTTTCACATGATTCTGCAGTTGAAAGGGCATTAGCCCAAAGTAGTGGTCAGCAGGCCCCTTTGGCAGCCCCTATTCCACTCAGCCCTTGCTAAGCCTCATTTTTCCTACTTGAATTGCTCACCCAAGTTGGGTGAGAGCTGCCCAGATTCCTAGAAACCCACTGGGGGAACAGCCCTACCAAACAGTCATTTGATTTCTTTTGTCTGGGAGTTAAGTTGATATGACAGTCAAACACTTAGCTTTGTTAAATGGAGGTTGGGGGGAATAATGTGTGACTATGTTAGGGAGGAGGTGGGTATGAGAAGATGTTAACCAATTTTACCACTTCATATTCTGCCACCCTCCACGTTTTCTGTTGAGGAACCCTGCACTCTGACCATTTGACCTATAGACCAGCCCAGGCCCAGAAAATGGTTAAAGACAGAAGTACTCCAAGCTACTGTGGTGAGCACAGCCCTCAGCCGCATTAAAGTTGCCATGAGGTAAGCAACCTCCTCAGCTACATGTTCCTGCCACCTCAATGTCCTGCCTCATCACAGGTTTGGCACAGAGAGTCAAGTGGCTGTGAACTGAAACCTCTGGTGCCTTTGAAGCTCAGCATAAAAAATCCACTCAGAATGGTGTCAGAAAGATAGTGGCCTGTCAAATAGGGGAGCCTCTAAGACCTTCAGCCCTTCACTGAACACCTAACTGTGAGAGCAGCAACAAAGTCTGGGGCTCAGCACCAGTAGCTGATGTTTCGTCCGGAAACCAGCTGCCAGGTCCCCACAGCTCGAGTCTTTATCTCAGCTTTTCCACAAAAGAGTGGGCATGCTTGGCGTACCAGCTGATTCCTTTATATAAGCAATAGAATCATACAGAGTGGGAAAATATTGAAGGAGTTTTTCTCCTTGCCTTGAACTCTTACTTCTCTGTGATTCTTTGAGCCTTCCACTGTTTTCTCCTCTTTCCAGAACATTCCTTTCTTCCTGTGTGAGTTTCTTCAAAAACTCAAACCAACAACAACAAAAAGGGAACGTAGTGATCAAAGCCAAACTAAGAATCTGGTAACTCCTTTGGATTATGTGTCCCCGGGGTAGACATTTGAAAGAAAATGTAGACTGAGATAATATTGAAAGGAGACACTAATGGATTGGAAAGTTTAAACTACTATTTTATATGCAAATACACATTTTTATATATTGTTACATATGTAGTTAGTCCCTGGGCTGGATGTGGGCCAAGCAGGAAAGTAATAAATTCTGAGAGAGCCAAGGGACTCCTGGTACACAGCCCTTGCTGTAAAGGCCACCGCCGGGTCGTGCTGTCCCTTGGTTGGCCCTGGGTGCTCTGAGACTGGCAGAAGTACCCTCTGATAGAGTCTGTGTGTCCCCCAGGTGCTCAGCTGTGACATACAGAGAACAGGTCCCCCACCCCACTTGGTGGCCTCTCCAGGCACTCTCCCTCCTGTCCCTGCTTTGCCACAGGGCTCAATTACCAGAGTTTATATTAGGAATCAGATATGGTTCTGGAAAGGGAAACTAGTGAGAGAGACTATATGGGGTGGGGGTGGAATGATGGACTTTGGGGAAAAGCCATGTACTTCCTCTCTTCTAGTCAAATAGGCCCCTTAAGGGTTCCGGATTATCTGTGGTGACATTTTCTGTCTAGTGCTGCAGCATGTGGCGGCTACTACCACCAACAGCTCTGCTACTCATAGGTAAGTGGGGCTCAGTTTATCTGAAGGTAAAGCTCATGATGGTCTGTGTTCAGCAGAGACCTCTCCCCCTTTCAGGGTAGGCATGGAATCCCCACCATGGGCCCAGACTTAACTCCTAAGACAGATTGTTAGAGATATGCAACACCCAGGCTCTGATCTGTGCTTCACCAGGGGCCGGCTGTGAGTCCACCCCTCTGGGTTTCCATTTCCCTGAGCGCAAATTGAAGAGCAAGAACCAGGTGGTTCCCTAGATTTGTGCCTTCCGATCTGACAACCCAGGTTTCCCTTTTCGTGTCTTCTCTTACTAGGTAGGGTTTAGGTGTAACATGTCTGTGGCTTGATTTAGGGAAATGCAATCTTTATTTTTAACCTGACAGTTTGAATGAGGAACAGGATGAAGGGAACAGTATCAAAAAATGAGGATTTGAGTTTCCTGCAGAACAGGTCCAGGGTGTTGGAGGAGAGAAGGAACCAGCTGGAGCAAAGGGTGGGGAGGGAGTCACCCTGCTCAACATCTGATGCATGCATTTTTGTTTTTCTTGCAGTTTCCTCTGGCATCCGAGCTGGTGAGTTTGCTTCAGGGTCTTAGATTGATTGAGTGAGGCACACACAAAAGCCACAGAAAGTTGGGAAAGGAGCACTGTATGGTGTCTGGCGTGTCTGGGGGCTGGGAGCAATTCCCTAACACAGTTGGGATAAGCCTTACGCATCTCTAGCCAGTTTTTCCCCAGCTACAGAAAGGATCAAAACTGGGGCCAAGAGCTTCCCTGCCTAGATGCCATAAGAATGAATCATAGACAGCCTAAGAACACTATGGGTTTGTTCACTCTTCCTGTGTTACTCTGGGTGTACTGGTGAATAACACTCATCTGTATCTCCTCATCAGGTCTACAAAAGGCTGTGTTGACCCTACACCCTGAATGGGTCAGGGTGCTCCAGGAAGACAGTGTGACCCTCAGGTGCCAGGGTACCTACTCACCTGGGGACAATTCTACCAAGTGGTACCATAATGGAACCCTCACTTCACAACAGGACCCCAGCTACTTCATTGGATCTGTCAAGGTTAAGGACAGTGGAGAGTATAAGTGCCAGACAGCCCTCTCCATGCCCAGTGACCCGGTGAACCTAGAAGTTCATGTAGGTGAGTTGGAGTGAAAGAAGGGCCCTGAATTACTTGGGGGAAAGCCATATGGTTTGTGTTAATATGGAAGTGAGGTGATATGTGTCCTGCCAGATGGGAACAGAACTGTAGTGCTAGCTGTAAAGTAAGCCCTAAGCAAAGCATGAAAGCCTGTCTTGTGGAGCATACAGGACGGTGGCATTGAACGATTCCAGGAATTGCCATTTTCACAGAATACCATGCAACATGGATACGTGTTCTGAGGGGCATGTCCCATAACAGCTATTAGTTAGACTGATGAATTTGATCTTAGGATCAGTTTCCTTCTTATGCTCACATTGTACACTCAGTCCTCAATTGCTGGTCTTTCATAGTCTGTTACACATCACTTCATGCCTCTCTGTACTATCTTCCCATCAGTGCCATGCTAGAACTCTCATGTTAACACACGCTTGAACCCTTCCAGTGCTGCCACATCTAGCATGGCTCCAGGGACAGACCTGACTAGAGAGGAAAGGGAATAAAGAAAACATGAACACACATGGACACACAAAAACTGGGACCCAATGCACTGGGCTCTCTGATAGAGAAACCACAGCACCCAGGAAACTTATTTATTATATACGGTTGAGCAGGGAATGGGATTGTTGCATGCAGCCGAATGAGGAATCTGGGTTATTACATACAGACAAACAAGCAGCCAGGGTTCTTGCTATATACAGATGATCAAGGGGGCAGGTTTAGAGTCAGTATCTCTATAGCTGTCTTCAGCCCATAAACATCCAGGGGAAGAGGGCTATGGTGGACATTTTCTGCATACATCCATTCTCAGACCATCCTTCTAAGTCTTACCCTTAGAGAAGGCTTTGCCATTTTCCCATGGGTCTGGGGCTCTGGAGTCCTCATATGGCTATGTGGAGGTGTCTACACACTCGTCCTCTACATGTATCATGGGATGGACATGTCTGGGTCAATTAGCAACATTCTGGTACCACAAGTGTGTAAGAGAACTCCAGCATAGATCTTTCTCAGTATCCTCGAAATCACGTCAAATACTGTAAGCCTTGCTCTATTTCATGGCTGTCCCATTTGTGCAATATGAGTTGGTGGGAAGGCCTGGAGGGGAGTGAAGGTGGTGAGACTGAAGTGTTTCTACAGAAGGATCCCATTGAATTGGGTCTATTAAATAGCTGGTTCTTGCAGTTCCTTTGCTCGAGGAATGGGCTCTGGGCATCTAGTTAATAAGACCTGCATGAGGCTGCAACTGTGAGCATTAAACTCACCGGGAAAACCCAGATTCTCCTTTAGGACCGGTTTCACTTAGGTAGTTTTTATTTATTTATTTATTTTTATTTTAAGCTCATGGGCTCTATAGTCTCTTTCTCTTAGCCCATTATAGAACTTACCACACTGCAATATAATGAATACTTCAGAGTATATGTGTTCCTAAGTTCTAGACTGTAGGTTCTGTAAGGTTAGGAGACATACACCTTAGTCATCTGAAAATCCCCAGTGTAAAATGTATCTCACATGTTTGTTGAATACACACACACACACACACACACACACACCTTCTTATTAGTTATGTTCTCAGCAAGATAGACAGAACAAGAATATTCCACCAGCCATTATAGTGAAATTTACCTGTGACTCCAGCTTTTGGGGGACAGAGCAGAGGGAGCAAGTGGGGAGAGACCATCCTTGGCTGTATTAAGTAAGCTCAAAGCAACATTGACTACATAAGACCCTGTCTCAAAAAACAATAGACACACTATTTTAATAAAAGAATGTTACCCTAAACACCAAACTGTATCCATATCAATCACAATCTTCTTATGCTAATTATAATACATTCCTCAGTTTAAAAAAAAGCTAAATAGACACAGGGTATTTTGATAACCAATATAGCTTGTTTGTTTATAGTTTTGTTAGTTTGTGGCATTTCTTTCTATTTATTTTTAATAGTAAGTATCATGTAGGTCAGAGTTGCTTAGAGCTCACTATGTAGTCTAATTGAGCCCTAAACCCCTGTTTTTCTTGCCTCTGCTTCTTGTATACTGTCTTTGCCTATAAAGATCTACCTTATTAAATATTAGAAATTGCCCTCTAGGCCAGGCAGTGGTGGTGCACGCCTTTAATCCCAGTGCTTAGGAGGCAGAGGCAGGTGGATCTCTGTAAGCTCCAGGTCAGCCTGGTCTATAGAGTGAGTGCCAGTATAGGCTCCAAAGATACACAGAGAAACCTGTCTCAAGAAAGGAAGAAAGAAAGGGAGGAAGAAAGAAAGACAGAAAGAAAGAAAGAAAGAAAGAAAGAAAGAAAGAAAGAAAGAGAAAAAGGAAAGAAATTGCCTTCGGTTTGGCAAGTCTTCCTGGTAAAGAATCTCCACCAAAACATTCTACCAATTTTGTTTAGTACTAGACAGTAAAATTTAAAAAGCCCCCTGATATTTTTCTTTGTTCTTAATATAAACATCATTAGGATTGTATTTCAAAAATCAATAAGCAATAAAATACTTTAATGCCCTCTGGCCCTACTCCCCCAGGGAAAACTGTTAATCCTAAAAAACACATCAATCTTTTTCTGTGCTCCTGGCATTAGCCCATTAATATCTGCACGTGCTATGGATATTTATCCGACTGTAATTTTTATTTCCCCAGGTCCCCTCCTATCTTGTTGTCACATTCTCTCTGTGGAGTCTGATTACCTGAGGTGACTGTGAGGACAGGCATCCTGGTGGTCCTCACATGCTCAGTCCTCACATGAAAGCCATGCTCAGTCATGGTCTACTTGAGGCCCCATGGCCTGTCAGAAACCGGAGATGACTGTGACAGCCCACATTCACCTCTCCCTCCCTCCTGATCATCTTCTTCCATTCCTCCCTTCCTTCCCCCACTGCCCTCCTTCTGACTTTTACACTGAGGGCTCCCACACCACTTTTGTAACCCCTTCCATGGACACTGGTCTCCTAAATACACATCTATGGAAAGAGTCTTTCAATATCTGTAAACCTGACCATTCTTTTAAAGTGGAGAAAGCAGTATGTATCCAGGAACTCACTTTGAAGACCAGGCTGGCCTCAAACTCACAGAGATCTTCCTGCCTCACCTCCTGAGTGCTGGGATTAAAGGTGTGCACCACCGCTGCCGGGCCAGAAAGCTATTTTTAAATGTACTTTCCACACTTTGGTTTAGAAAAAACAGTGAATCTTTATTACCTGCCAGACCAAATGTAAGCCCAGCGTATAGGAATCCTGCAGATATCCTCAACTTTGCTTCTCAACTCCCTTATTCTTGGTTCTTCATACTAATCGTGTGTGTGTGTGTGTGTGTGTGTGTGTGTGTGTGTGTGTGTGTGTGTGTGCCTTTTCTCCCTTAGTCAAAAGGTCCTGGTGTGACATGAGGCACAGTGCAGGGCAATCCTCAGTCTGGCTTCTATTGCATTGGGGATCCAGCTATTCAGAGCTTCGCCTTCAGAAGAGATTTGTGCTCAGAATTCGGCCCCGCCTCTAAGACCCCCTGTCTTTCAGGCTGGCTGTTGCTTCAGACCTCTCAGCGGCCTGAGTTCCGGGAGGGGGACCCCATTCGGCTGAAATGCCACAGCTGGAGAAACAGACCTGTATATAAGGTCACCTATTTACACAACGGCAAAGGCAAGAAGTATTTCCATAAGAACTCTGAACTCTACATTCCAAACGCTACACAAAATCACAGTGGTACTTACTTCTGCCGAGGGATCATTGGACGAAACAACAAGTCTTCAGAGACCTTGAGAATCATTGTAGGAGGTAAGAGCGAGCTCTTCAGAGCCTGTTACAATGCGCTATGTTTTTTATTATTATTATTAATTATTATTGTTGTTGTTGGGTTTTTATTTATTTATATTATTTATAATATAAATTTTATTTTCAAATGTATTTTATTTATGACCAATATTATGTATTATCTTTTATTATTACTGTTATGTAATGTGAGTTATGTGTGCATGTCTGTGTGCACACGCTACAGTGAGCTTGTGGAGGTCAGAAGACAACTTTTAGGAGGCAGTTCTCTCCTTCCACCACATGAGTCCTGGGGATTGATGATCAGGACTGGCAGCAAGAACCTTTGCTGGCCTTCTCCGGTTTTTGTTTAATCTTAATCTGGCAGGGATAAGGAGGACCTAGTGTACTCTCAAAGGGTGCCTTAGTTGCTTTTATACTGCTGAGAGGACACACCACGACCAAGGACACTTACAAAGGGAGCATTTAATTGGAGGCTGGCTTACAGTTTCAGAGGAGAGTCCATGACTATCATGGTGGGGAGCGTGGCTGCAGGCGGGCATGGAACTAGAATAGTAACTGAGAGCTCATATCCTCTCCACAAGCTGTCTTTCACATAGTAGGCTGAGAACATGAAATACTCAGCCTGGTGAAGCCCACCCCCAGAGATACACCTCCTCCAACAACATACCTACTAATCCTTCCCAAAACAGTTCCCAAAACAGAGCCACAACTGGGCTCATTCAAATGTGTGCCTTTGGGGAGCATTTTCCTTCAAACCACCACAAAAGGTGGCAGAGAAGACCAAGTGATGAGACAAACAAGTCAAATGTAAGCAACTGGAGAATCTAAGTAAAAGACATGTGAGGGGAGTTCTTTATGCTATCAAGGTAAATGTGTTCACAGTTAAGGGGCTCGAGAGATGACTCAGCAGTTAAGAGCACTGGCTCCTCTTGCAGAGGAGCTGGGTTCAATTCCAAGCACCCACATGGTGTCTCACAACCGTCCATAACTCCAGTTCTGTGGGATCTGGTGCCTCTTCTCACCTGCCAGGGCACTGCATATACTCATACACACACATACATAAGAAATTTAATAAATATTTTTAAAAGTTAAAATTAAAACTGGCCTAGGCGTGGTGGCATGTGCCTTTAATCCCAAGAAGTGGATCTCTATGAGTGGGAGGCCAGCCTGGTCTACATAAGTGAATTTCAGGCCAGCCACGGCCACGTAGTAAAAGACCCTGTTTCAAACAAACAAATAAATGCAGCTGGGCTGGAGAGCTAGCTTAGTTCATCTTAAAGTGCTTGCCTCACAAACACCAAAGCCCTAGAGCCACAAAGCAATGTCAGGTTTGGTTAGCAATAATCCTGACAGTAATCCCGACACTAGGAGACAAGGGACCCTGGGGCATTCCCTTTACCCAAGCAGTAAACTCCAGCCCAATGGACTGTGATAAAGGTCGTGACCAAAAACAACTTGGAGGAGGAAAGGGTTTATTTATTTCAACTTATACTTGTAGGTCATAGTCCATCATTGAGGGAAACCATAGCAGAAACCATGGAGGAATACTGCTCACTCCCTTGCTCCCTAGCTCATACTCAGCTTGTTTTCCTATATAGTTTACCTCCCTAGTGTCCGTATAGGCCTACCTGCCTAGGAATGATGTTGCCCACAGTGGGCTGGCCTTCCCACATGAATCATTAGTCAGACATTACTCAACTGAGGTTCCCTTCTTCCCTAGTGACCCTGGGTTGTGTCATATTGATAATAAACACTAACCAAAACATCATCTAAAGGAAGTGAACAGAATTTCTTTCTTTGTTCCTTCCTTTCTTTTTTCTTTCTCTCCTTCCTTCCTTTCTTCCTTCCTTCTTTATTTTTCAATATGGAGTTTCTCTTTGTAGTCCTGACTGCCTTAAAACTAGCTCAGGCTAGCCTTGAACTCAGAGATCTGTCTGCCTCTGCCTCCCAAGTGCTGGGACTAAAGGCACATACCACCACTGCCCATCTGTGAACAACATTTCTGAGGATAACAGCCAAGATTGTCCTCTGATCTCTATATGGATGCACACATACACACACACACACACACACACACACACACACACACACACATACACACACACACACACACACACACTCGCTTATACCCATGCATTCACACAAGTGCACACACAGGCATACAAATGCATGAGCATACAAACACACATCACATCCTAAAATTTTTAATTGAAAAATAATTGAACCCAGGGCTAGAGAGATTGCACAGTGGTTAAGAGCACTGGCTGCTCTTCCAGAGGACCTGGGTTTGACTCCCAGCATCCACATGGTGGCTCACAATTGTAACTCTAGTTCCAAGGGATCCAATACTCTTCTCTGGCCTTTTTTGTGTACCAGGCATGAACCTGGTGCCCATACACATAAAATTAAAATTAAAAATACTTAAATAAGGAAAATATTGAGCTGGACTTGGTGGTGCACATCTTTAATAGCAGGACTCAGGAAGCAGAGGCAGGTGGATATCTCTGAGTGTGAGGACAGTCTGGTTTACACATCGAGTTCTAGATCAGCCAAGGTTACATAGTGAGGTGTTGTTTCTAAAAATTAACCAAAAAGAAAGGAGAAAGAGAAACAAAAAATAAACTAAAATGCACACATTATTCCACTTTCTAGATGACAGTAATGTGACAGCTTCACAACTGTCATGTGATTCCTGTAGACATGTGATTCCTGCAGACGTCCCCTGCTGAGTCACCACCTGACGAGCTGAAGCAGTGACTTAGCATTTTGGTCTGCTGATCTCACTTAGGGGGCACTAAAATGGAAATGCAGTGAAAGGGAGTGAAGAACTTGCCCATGCTCTCCCATGTATCCCTCCTACCTGATCCTCGGCAGGTGTCAGGAACACTGGTGGTGTTGACCTCATTGTTTATTCCAAATCTCTGCCTTAATGAGAGTCGTCTTTCTCATCTCTCTATTTCTCCCACCAGATCCGATATCTCCGTCCACCTTTCTACCGTGGCATCAAATCACTTTCTGCCTGCTGATAGGACTCTTGTTTACAATAGACACAGTGCTGTATTTCTCTGTGCAGAGGGGTCTTCAAAGGTCAACGGCAGTCTATGAGGAACCCAAGTTGTACTGGAGCAAGGAACCTGAGGACAAGTGAGTCCTTATCTCATGGGGTGGTAAGAGGTGGACTTGCAACCTCATCATCTACATTAGGCACCATGCCTTGAGCAGCAAGGGGTAATACTCACTTTTCTTTTTGTCTCCAAAGGACCATCTCAGAGGAAAAGCAAAGCTTCAGATCTTCAAGGGCCAACAGTGAAAAGCCAGTGGATACATAGCTGCCCTCTGGACAAGTGATGCCTCAGAGTTTGATGCTTTCCCTGTCCCAAACATTCCCTCATTGCAAAAGAGCAGCCTGGGCTCTGGATGGTGGCCCTTTCAGTGCTTAACAATTGTTCCTAAATAAACCTCTGTAGAAAAGTGAATGACTGCATCTGTCCCTTCAGGCCTGGTTGCCTTCAGGGAACCCCCCAGACTTCTTCCAGATTGTGGGGAGTCCTGGGAACCCAAGCAGTGCATCTGAATTGATGGAGTAGACAGCTAAGAGCCAGGGGAAGGGAGACCCCCATCAGCCAGAGCCAGCTGATGATTTATGGGGGGAGGAAGAAGTCCTTTTCTTCCCTCTTGCAGGCTCTGTAAATTCCCCTTGTTCCCGTAAATAACCTACCACCTGTTCTCATGCAAGTAACCCAAATTAAACTCAGTGGGAAACAAACAAGACATGGAAGAAAGTTGGAAAGGGACTTGTTCAGAAAAAGAGGGGCTTCGGTGGAGTGAGAAGGGGTGAAAGAAGGCAGTGGAGGGTGAGAACTGCCATCATAACCCAGGCATCCCCCAGCAAGACAGCAATGACCGTGCACTGGTAAAGAGCATGGAGATGAACTACTCTGGAGACAGTTTCAGGGAATAGCATCTGCTTTGTTGCATGGGAACAACCATTTGCATAATGGAAACCTGAGATTGGTTAGTACAGTACCTCGGATTGCATGGTGAGTGCTCATACCACCAGGGTCTCTATTAGGAAGAATCACATTAAAGGCGACATGAAGAGTCCAAACAATCCAGCTACCAGCTACCCACATTACTTCAGAATTCAATGTTCTGACTTCTGGGGCAGGGTATGCCATGCTTCTTATTTAAAAGTGCAGTATGCCAAGTAGCCTGGCCACCAGGTCATGCCTGCTTTTTCTTCTACAGAGAATTACCAAAATATATTGTAAATATTTATGAAACTGTCAAAATATTTAGATGTATTTGTTTTTATGTGCATGAGTATTTTGCCTTTGTGTATGTATGCATACCACCTATGTGCCTGGTGTTTTCAGAGGTCAGAAAAGGGAGTCATATTCTCTTGAATGGAGTTACAGAGAGTTGTCGGCGACCATGTGGGTGCTGGGCACTGACCCCAGTGTCTCTGCAGGAAGTGTTCTCCAGCTCCATGTCAAATATATATATGAGCAGAGGAGGGAGCTGGAGAGATAACTCATCAGTTAAGAGCATTTGCTGTTCTTGTAGAGGCCCTGGATTTGATTCCCAGAACATACAGGCTGATTCACAACCCTCTGTAACTCCAGTTCTAAGGGATCCCACACCCTCTTCTGACTTCCACTGACAACAGACACCAAACACAAATGTGGTGTGCATATGTATGCAGGCAAAACACTCATATACACAAAATAAAACTAAGAAAGAAAGGGAGGGAGGGAGGGAGAGAGAGAGAGAGAGAGAGACAGAGAGAGAGAGAGAGAGGCGCCTAGGGCACCAGGGAGACATCGTTATCTGAGCCAGAGATAAGGTTATCTGCCTAGACCAGAAGCCACAACTAAGTGAAGTAATAAGTTGTAATGTGATATCAGCTTGAGTTGTCCTGAGGAGTCTCCACTGGAATTGGGGTGGTCTCAGAGCATGTCATATTGAAATGTCTTCATTCGTGGGCCCAGGGTATCAGTCAGTTCTGGGCCACTGTGGGGGGGGGGGGCAGGGGTGGGATTAAAAAGAAACAGCAAATAACCCATGTTGTGTTGAGTGAGCAAATACACCACAAGTTCCCACAAAGGAATGGCCATAAGATGAAGACAGTTCTGTTGACCAAAGCCGTCTTAGTAAAAATCAGAAATGGCACTGTGACTATAAAAACCCAGCCTTTCTGTTTCTATGACCCTTCCCAAAACACATCTGATTTTAGTCATATGCTCTCCCAATTGTGCCTACGCATACGATGGTAAATAGGAGAGTCTCCCTAAAAGGTTGCCAAAGATACCCCAAACCAATTCAGGTTGGGTCAATTCTTCTGCTCTTCATACCCAGCTGCATTGGGCATGCACTTGAACAATGGAAACTATAAATTTGATTGTTGCCAAGGGTAGGGAAATGAGTGATTTTTCAGAGACGAAATATGTATAGCCCAGTGCAGGTTGTGGGTGGGAGGGTTCTGAGGTTTCTCCTAGCATTGTCTGGGGAAGGACATGCATGCCATAGTCATCCCGATGGGGGAACTAATCTGCCTATTGCATTATAGCAAGAATGTGTATATGTAAACCAAGAAGACCAAGGTAGTAAAATGTGTCCTGTGCTTGCCTTCCTCACCTACAATGGGCCAGCAGTGAATGTAGGTGCTGCAAAGATTTCATGAACAGCTCAGTGTCATCCTGTGTCCAGAAGTTTTGGTTCTAGTGAGCCAAACAGACAGGCAGGTACTAGGAAAGTGGAGGAAGCCTGCAGAGAAGGTTCGTTCTGGAAGAAGGCACGAAAGGCGAAGTTTGCCAGGCAAGAAAGAAAGAAGTTGGAAGTCCAGGGCAAAGTATTAAAAGCCAAGCTGAGTTTAGGAGATGCGGTTCTTTTGGGTCTAAAAGAGGCAGTGAGGGAGGAGTGGGGCGGGGGGGAATTCTGAGACCACTCGCTTGCTGTCTGAGCTTAAAGAGATGGCGTAGGATGGTGCCAGGTATTGAAGCGGGTGATGCTGATCGTTGCTCGGGTACAGAGTTAACCAAATTCTGGGGCAGCTACAGGAGCCGAGAATTAAAGAACTGAGAAAGGGAACTCCTCGAGGTCCTAGCAGATGAAGTTGAGATTAAAGAGCAAGTAAGGAGTGGCAAGCGGCAGCCAGGGAGGGATTCGGGAGCAAGGAAATAGGAAGGAAAGCTAGGCACAGTTTCCTCAGGATAGATAAGGTAGTCGTCCTCGTATGATCAACACTGAACGTCCAAACTCCCAGAACAACAGCTTTCTGATGTAATTAGAGCAGCCTTAACCGCGAAAACAAGAAACGGCTCCAAAACACGCAGGCCGAGGAGTTTTTAAGCACAGCGTTAAGTATGTCAGCTAGCTGCTTTAAGTTGCTCGACCGACAGATTCCAAGTCTGTGAAGTTTACAAAATAGTCCTTCGCGTCCCTGGGTGGGCTCGAACCACCAACCTTTCGGTTAACAGCCGAACGCGCTAACCGATTGCGCCACAGAGACAGACAGCATGTTTTGCTGCCGTCAAGGCAGTTCACTAAAGGATATATTGGTCGTCTATATGTGCCAGAAGTTGCGGTTGAAATTGAGAACAAAACTGGCGGCATCCTGCAGTGAATCCTGCAAGTAAGGAAGGGCATCAGCACCCACTTCAAAAAGAAAAGGTCCGGGTTCTACCCACTGAGACCGAGAATAGGGGAGCTCAAGAGGATGAACGAACCAAGAGCCTTTGGGAAATCCAAAATGGATGCTCTCTGAGTTTGGGAATTCAGTTGGTTTTGCTTAGAAACGTTGCTGATCTAGATAATTTACGCATGCAACTGTGCGTGTGTAAGGACTGATTCATTAACTCATTATTTTTCACATAACCACTACGTTTCCAGGCATGCCTGGCAAAAAGTACTAAGGGATATTACAACAAAATAAACCACACCAAGGGTTTTGAAGTCTACTGGCACGTGAGTCACCCAGGCAAAACGGAAAACTGAAAAATTTTTGTAAGTCGACGACGCTGACACATCTGCAAAAGAATATCAAAGAGCACATTCCCATTGTTCTACTGCCTTCAGCTTAAGGGTCCCATCAGGGCTAGGGTCCAATGAGCGGTTTTTCTGTGTTGCCCAGGTCTCAGGAGTTCCCTGGAGCTCCCACACACTAGTACCTCCCTGTGTCTGTGTCTGTAGCATCTTCTGTTAATACTGAGATTCAGTTTAAGTGCAGGTCAATATTTGCAAAGATTTCATACAAACAGAGATACCTATGTGCAGAAATCACACACGCATATATTTTATATTTTGCGACATATATACCACAAAACATGTGTGATATAGACATACATATATATGTATATTTATGTGTGTATATGTATATACATACATGCATACATATGGCTACGGACCTTTCCATTGAAATTGTTTTTGTACTTTGTGGAGGATTGGATGAGAATGGCACCCATAGGCTCATATATTTGAATGCTTGATTCCAATTGGTGGAACTGTTTGGGAAGAATTAAGATATGTGGCCTTGTTGGAGGAGGTGTGTCACTAGGGGGAGAGTTTTGAGATTCCAAAAGGCCGTTCCTAGCTAGCTTTCTCTGGGTTTTGTTTGTGAATCCGAATATAAGCTCTCAGCTATTACTCCAGCGCCAAATGCCAAGGAAATATATCAGCAAACACAGTAAACCCTAAGACTTAACTACATTGCACTGTTTCATTTGGTCTTGACCTAATTTTGGGTGTTATTCTAATAAATGGTTTTCATATAGTAGAGATAACAAATACTAAGTCTTCATACAATATTTTATTTTTGGTTGTGAGCCTAGCCTTTAACGGCTGAGCCATCTCTCCAGCCCCTTCATACAATATTTTAAAAACCAAAAGTTGAAGGAGTAAATCTCAGAAAGAAGAGCCATATAAGGGACAGTCAATTCTGAAAAACAAAGCAAAACAAAACCTCCTCTTAAATCCTTGCTTTCCCGCTGAACTGGTAGTTCCTGCATGATGAGAGTGGGGTGCCTTTATATTTTCATTTTATATTTTTATATTTTTATTCTCTATTTTTCTGCAAGGAGTATATGTATTACAGGAAAACTGCAAGTGTGTGTGTGGTGTGTGTGTGTGTGTTTCAAAATGAGCATATACTCTATGCTGGGTCCTATTACACATATAATCATTTATACTCAAAAAAAAAAACATTCAAAATAGATATAATTGACATTTGTGTGCACACGGGGTGGGGGAGACAGAGAAAGAGCTCTACCAGAAGAGATAGGGGAAAATTCACTGGAAATAATATAAATGTAAAAAAAAAAAGAAACTTGTTAGCGAAATTATGGTGTCATTATGTAGCTTAACACAACCAAGTAATTAAAATAAATGCTAAAACCGAGGCTTTAACAGATTGAACAGTCTGAGGTCAGAGAGCTGAAACTGGAAATCTGCTTGACTATACAAATTCTTATAAGCGACT